CGATCAATTGTCAATTTTTGGTAATATAAAATCGCCATAATCATAATATAAATCCATTTATGTTATATTGTTTCATCTAATAAAAATTATTTTGAGAAAATAATAAAATTAGTAGTTATATTATTCTAATGTGAGATAATAATAATCTAAAATAGATTAAATATGAAAAATAATAATTATTTAAAAACATATACAGTTATTAAAATTTAAATTATGATCAAGTAATAAAATACCTTTCTATGTTATTTTATATTTATTTATACTAAATATTTTTAACATAATTAATTTGTTAATTTATTTATCAACTCTTAGTTTTTATTTTTATTTTTCAGCTTTTTTGTTTTAAGTTTACACGTGAGTCCTGGTTAGATGTGGTGTATACAATCTTAAGCATGTGTGGTGTGACGATCTGCATACCAATGAGAAGTTGCAAAGTCTTTCCCAATGTTTAGCAATGAATACTGAGTAGTCTAACGCCACTTTCAATCATCTATAAATACTGCTACTTTTCCAAATGCAACTTTACCTCAACACATTTTACTCTTCTCTTTGCACATTTTCATTTCAATATTTGAACCAAGGTTCTCCCTTCTCTCATTACATGTTTCTGTTCATGTTTATATCTTTAAGTTGTACATTTTTTTTGGGTGACAATATTTGCACAAGAATTTCTACGATTTTTTCATATATGTGTTGATGATTTGTATTCCCTCTCGTTTTATTATTTGTCTTTTTCTTTTAATATTCCAAGTTTGTCTGTAGAAATAGACACATTGTGTTTGTTTTTCTTTTAATATTGTTATTTGTTAGGGAAAATTACTTTTTTCTCTTAAAATTCAGTTTAAGTCATAAAATGTAATTTTCACATTAGGTTGGAAAAAAGTCCACACTGTTATTTAATATCAAATTTGCAAATGCTTGCCAATGACACTCGTAATAGCTTATCGAAAATGATTTTACAAATCCAATTTACACCTTGGAGGAAGAAAGAAATAGGCCCAGAAGTGAAGAAAAATAATGAGTATGAATGTAAATGTAATGAGAAAAGAAGAAACATACATAAGGTTGTAAGGTGAATGTAAAATGAAATAAGTTTTAGGTAAGTATTTTATTTATTTATTTATTGAGATGGCTTTAAATTAATTTGTATTATTTTGCAGATGGCGAATCATAGTTGTGAAAAAATGACGAGTAAGCAAAGCAAGGCTTTTGTGAGTTTAAAGAAGGAAATTGAAAACCAGAAACAGATCATTAATGTTTTGGAGAATAGAAACACAGAAAAAGATGCTTGTATGAAAAAACTCATCGGATCGTTGAAAACGTTTACAGAAATGACAAATACAGAAAATAGGCTGAATGAAGAATGTGAGAAAGGTATTTTCTTTACTCTGAGCTAGTTATTAATATTAGCATTAATTTGTTTTGTTATGTGCTATTATTATTTTTAATCTTTTTGGAGATTTAAAATATTTCTTTACTGTGTTTGCGAATTTTACATGCAGTCCCTCAACTATTTGGGAATTTTTATAATTGAGTTTTTATAGTTAATTTGTGGCAGCTTGAAACTACCACAAATGTAACAATTTGTTGTCATTTTACTAGTTTCAAATAATCAATTACAAAAATTTTAAAATATCATTTACTCAATTACAAACTTATAAATTTAGGTATTTAATTAAAAATTATTAAAAAATTCAAGTATCTACTATCTACTTATATTAAACTTTTCCATTGTTTATTGCTGAAAATGAAACTACTTTTTGATGCCGTGTTTCTTCTCTTCATGAATCAGGGCTTGTTAATTTTCATGTGACCTTTTGGGTGACAAATTGAAATAAAGCATATAGCATATAGGCCTACATCTGTACATGATTTTTTTTTTTTGGTATATCATTACTAGAATTTATTTTTCAATGTTTTCTATGCTAATTTTTGTTAGTTTGTTTTTAAAATTATCAGCATTACAGAAGATGAAGGTCTTGAACTCTAACATGAGTCGTGACATGGAATGTGGAAGGAAAGAGATGGAGCTGATCACAAAGGAATTTGAAAAGAGTAAGGCTATGAATGATATTCTGCAGAAGAATTTTACTGAGGAAAAACAAAAGGTCAGTACTCAGTAGCAATCTGTACCTTTGGATGTATAGGGTTTTCTACAAGGATTAGGAACAAAACATAGATAGAGGTATTATACATTAAATAACATTTAATAGAATTATTTATTATGCATATTATTAATTTGAAACTCTAGTTTTAATTAGAAATAACCACACCAATACCTATGCTAGTAAGTGTAAGATTTGTTGTTTCTATAAAACCCCTTCTCTATTTATGAATATTACTCGTGAAAGTGTGAAACTCGTTCAAATTAGAAATAAGTCAATAACCACTATCAACACTTACGAAGGGTGTGTTTTGTAAATTATAAAAATTAGATAATTTCAATAATTAATTATGTGTATAATCGATTGTAATTAAAATAATTTTTTTTGTGGATAAATTTACTGAAAAATGATTTTTAGATGTTTGATTTCAATTGAATAAAAAAAACAGCTTTTATGAAATAAATCCGTTGTAGGAGAAAAAAATTGTTAAATAATCATAAGATTCAAGTTTTGAGATTAAAGAAAACTTATTTTTCATAAAAAAAGGTTTATTGTTGTTCCAAACAATTAACTTTTTTTATATAAAACTTTTTTCATTGAAAGTAATTGAAATGATGAGAAAAAATATTTTCCAAACATGTTATAAGTATAAATTTAAGTCTATTTAGATACAAATTAAAAAATAGTTTTGAGAGTTTTTCTATTAAAAATATTCTTTATTTTCTGTAGAAAAACTTTTAAAAACACTTCTAATTTTTTTTCAAAAAAAACTCTTTGTCCTTCTTATTATGTTCCTTGACTATTTATTTTAGGAGTTTTAAGTTAGTTAACCGTCTTTTTGGCGGTTTTGTTCAACAATCAACATTGAAGATGTTTATTGTTTTTTCAGCTGAAAAATCAACTAATATGCAATCAAAAGCTGGAATCGGAGAATCAACAACTAAAAGGGAAGTTAGATGTGATGAAGTACATGGAAGATGAATTTCTGAAATCGGTGGGTTCTTTGCATATGGAAGTAGTGGAAATGGAAGATTTCAACCAGTCATTAATCACTAAAGAGCGTGAGAGTAATGATGAGCTTCAAAAAGCTCGAAAGAAATTGATTAAGGTATTTTTTTTCTTTTGCAAAAATTATCTTCTCTTATGAAGTGATGATTCTTTGAATTAATTTATAGTAGTATTTGCTCATCAGGTTCATTTTGATCACTCTTATTTTAATTATTTGGCTGTTATGAAGATTATGGCCTTGGTTATGTATTTGATGGTGATTTTTCTTTTCTGTTTAAAGTTTTATTGATTTGAATTTGTGTTACAATATGATGATAGTTATTATGATATGGTTATACTTCTTTTGGTTTTAAATAATACACTTAAAATAATAACTTGATTATTATTTGTATGATCTACTAATAATTGCAGGGCATTGAGGAGATATCAAGTCATGATGGTAATATCTGTTTGAAGAGAATGGGGGAAATAGACACTCAACCTTTTCTTAAAGCTTTGAGAGCAAAGAGAAGATATAGCAAAGAGGAAGCAGAGAAAAGAGCTTTAGAAATGTGTTCATTATGGCAAAAGGATGTGCAGGACCCTCATTGGCATCCCTTCAAAATAATCACAGCTCATGGGAAATCAAAGGTAAAACTTTATTATACACAAATTATTAAAGATGTTGGTTTAAATTAAATCCAACTTTAAAAACTAATTTATAAAATAAAAAATTGTCTCTCATTTGTGTATTTTATGTTTAACATTATAAATTTATTACGTACATAAATGATAATGGCTCTTTTTAATAGAATTACGATACATTCTAATATCATTTTAAGTTGATAGACCTTAACTTATTTTAAAATAGCATTACAACCTATATTATTGGAATTTTGTAATAATATTTGAATGTGAATTTGAATTTAATTCAATTTAATTTAATCATATTAGTAGTTGATGAGATTTCCAACATAAATCTTCCAAAGAAACCCTAGTCGATAATATGTCTTGCAAAACTGCCTTACATGAGAATGAACACAACTTTGGTCATTTCAGGAAATTATAGATGATGAAGATGCAAAACTGAGAGTACTGAAAAAAGAATTGGGAGATGAAGCTTACAATGCAGTCGTGGCAGCTTTGAAAGAGATTAATGAATATAATTCTAGTGGTAGATTTATGATCACTGAATTGTGGAACAAAGGAGTGGGAAGGAAAGCTACTATAGAGGAAGGGGTTGAATTTCTATTGAATCAGATGAAAACAATGAAGAGGCAAATACGTGTAAGGAGGATCAATGCAATTGACAATACTGATCAAGATGTCGGCCAGGGTCATGGTTTATTTTCCCTTTCAGTGAGTTTTGGATTTGAATGGAAAATTTAAATGGAATAATTTATTTATTTAAAGAATTTTAAATTATTTGAGGTGAAATACTTTGTTTAGAAGGAGAATTTAAAATTCAAGTATTTGTAAAATTCTTTAAAATAGTAAAATTTCAAATTCTCTCAAAAAGTAAGAATTTAAAATTTCTCATTTTTTTATTTCACTTATATATTTTATCTTATTTCTTTTCTCTTCATTTTTTTAATTATTGAATATTTTAAAATATTTTAAAATTATTAAATATTATCTAATATTAATTTTTAAAATTATTAAATATTTAAAAATTGGTTAATATTTATTTTTATAAAATTTAATTTAAAAATCTCAACATACAATTACATTTTTAAAATCAATTTTATCATGGTAGAATCAAATTTTCATATTCAAACTAACTATTTAAAATTTAAGGAATTTGAATTGACTTATCCAAACAAAATATTTTAAGAATGATAGAAATTGAAATCAAAGTAATTCAAATACCAAGAATTTCAAATTCCTTGAACTTGTAAAATTCCCTATCCAAACACACCATTAGGGGTGTTAATGAGGTGGAACAGAATCGAGCTTTATTATTTTCGTCTTTATTTTCATCTCTATCTCCGTCTCCATTTCGTCTTCATCTTTATCTCTGTATTCGTCTTCGTCTCCATCTCTATTGTTGTATCCTATATCCATTCCCGTCTCCATGTCTAATAGGTATAAAATTTGTATCTTCATCTCCATTCTTGTCTGATATTAATCATATTTTTTTCGTACTCGTCCAAAAATTAATTAAATAATTTTTTTAAAAATAAATATTAGAAAATCAAGAATTTCAACATATAGAACAATTACAAAATTATATTAATTAAGTGTTATTTGCATAAGTTTAAAATAGAGTAAGAATTACATAAATGTCAAGTAAATTTTAAAAAATTAAAATTTTTAAAATTTTAAAGTGGATGTGGGACATATATGTATATTTATCTCATCCTCATATCTGATTCAATAAATTGGATATTACTTGTATTCAAACAAATTACATATTTTTCATTAAAATCAGGATAAGTTCAAATTTATAAATTTATTTATTATCCATAATTTAAGTTAGAATGCTAAGTTACAATGGTGTGAAATATCAAGAAAATAAATAAGAGGTAAAAAGATGTAAATAGAAAAAGAAATTTTAAAAAAATATTTACATGGTTAAGCGTAATAAAATTAATTGTATAAAAGCAGGGTGTAATTATGCATAAAGAAGTAAAATAAATTATGCATAATATAATGAGCAAAAATGAAATAGGGGTGTAAGTAATTGTATTTTTTTATGAGTTTGACATTTGAATTTTTCTTAATCCTATATTTATTAATGGGTTAAATTTAACTTGAAATGCAGGGTACCGAAACCTAGATGCAGAATCAAATTTTCTAAACATCACCGCACATGATCGCAGGGGTGTAGATCGTTTGCATTCATCCGAGTTCATTTTCAGCATACTTATAGAGAAGGAAATGTTTGTGTTTGATTGGATGCAATTAAATATTAGCCTTTTATTTTAGTTTTTTTACATCTTTCTCATTCATCAGAAAATATTCGTTTAGATGAAGAAATAGTAAACTAGTAATACTTCCCTCCTTACTCCTATATTTTATTATTCTTTTATATTCAATTAAACAATAAAAAAAAAGTAATACATACATCTAAACATACTACATAAATGATGAATAATTCACTATCCCAACTTGGTATTTTATAAAGGTAGAATTTTATGTAAATTGGGCCTGAAAACTGGTGGGTTTGGGCAAGGCCCAAATAACGGCCTAGCTTTATCCACATGACAAAGTGGTATAAAAAATTTGGTAAAAAATAAAAAGGGGTGGTGCTAATGCTATATATTTGTGGCATAGGCCCATTTTCAAAAGGGGGCTGTGATTACAAAGAGAGAGGCTTGAGTGGGAAACCTAATTCCATTCGAATGAAGTTGAAGGTGCCGCCATCTCCTTTGCATCAAATCAAAGGTTCCGGCTTTGGTATCTCAATTTCCGAAACTGAATTGGGGGTTTTCTTTTTCCCACAGTGACAGATCTTTCTAAATTTACACTTGATATGAGCCCTCTTTTTTCTTTTTTTTTTTATTATTATTATTTTTGCACTGTGTGTTTTGTACGAGGAAACCGTTGTGTTTTGTTTTCTCGTTGAAGTGTCAGTGCGCACAGAGAAAGCTCAATTTGGGCAGCGGCCAGACAACCGTAGGGATGGTTTTCCACAGATTATGACCTTTTCTTTCCTCATTCTCTACTGATTCCATCCCACATTTCTTCCTTTTAATCACTTATCAAGTTAAATTCTATCAAATGTTTTTTTGGTCCCTTTAGGGTTTTAATTTTGTTTCTCTAACTAAAATTATTCTTCAATTTAGTGTCTCAAGGTAGTAATTTCATATAATCAAAGTTTTTCTTATTCCAGGGAAAACCAGTGATTATTATTTTTCTGCCAAATCTTTTTGACACCTAAATACTATTTTGCTCGATTCAATGTTGACTTGTTCATTTTGTTTGATTAGTGTTATTTTGACATAAGACTTGAAAGGTTATATATGATAAGAAACAAGACATGTGCATGCTGTGATTAATTTGGAATCAACTGACTGCATTTGTTAGATTGTGTTGCTTGTGGTTGTGGGGATGGAAAGGATTGGGTGTGGAATATGGTTATAGTGACAACTGAGATGAGTCATTTATTTGTGCTTGACTAATATGCAGCTGGTTTTGAGTGTTATGTTTGCTAAGGTGTAGTCGCAATGATAAAGTATTAAGGGCATGTTTGAGAACAATTATTTTCCGCCCATCCCTTGTTAGTTGCATCAATAAATCGTTTCCCACATTAACATGACCTTTTGCAGATATCTATATGTTCAATTTAAATATATAGGCCTATGATATAAAACGTGAAAAGGGCAAGTTATATCCGAGAAACCCAAAACCACTACGATTTGGCATGACCGAAAGTATTGTTTAATGCAAGGAATGGTGAATAGAAACTTGTCTATGATATAGTTGAATAAAAATGATGTTTGCGATGTTTGCTCTTTCGCTTGACAATTGACATAGAAGAGTTCCTTAATCAGCCATTGCTAATAGAGCGTCTAAAGCTTTTGAAACGCTACACCTAGATATTTCGTATTTGGGGTCCTTATGGAACCAGCTCAATTCATTACCAAAGGCCACAAGTATGCACAATAAAGATGTAATGAGATGGCTCTATATGAATTTGGCATGAAATGGATGAAATATTGTTTGTACTTTTATTTTATAACCATATTATTAATTGAAATATTATTAGTTAAAAATATATGAATTTGGCATTGTCAGTGACGTATCTTTAGTGAAATTTCTTTCCTAATGACATTTTTTTTTCATAAAATTTAGACTCAATTTTGCTTAAGGTGATTGAGTATTGCTAGTAAAATTGTTTTTTTTGGTTGAAATAAATTATTTATTTTTATAATTTTACTTATTTTATATTTGAGTCGTTATAGTTTAAAATATATATTTTCAATCCATATATTTGTCTTTTTCAAATTCTCTTTTGTCCTAGTATATAAAAAAGGATTAAATCAAGCCCTTTATTTTTAGTAACTAATGCTTATATAATTATTTATCTAAAAAGACTTGCACAAACTAATTTTAACTAATAGAAAATTTTGTTTTATTTTATTTTTCTGATTTTATTCTCCAAAAATATGTTTAAAGAAGATTATGCAAATAAGTTCTTATTACAATACAAGATGGTTCCGTAACAGAGAAACCAAAATATATCATTCCATTTTTAAAAGGAAATTTATATCATGATCTCAGTTCATTAATTGGAATTTAAAACAATTTTAAATGTAGTATATAATTCACTCTAATACTAACATTTCCTTTAGTGACAAGTCTCGATCGTATCTGGTGGTAGGTAATTCGGTTGGAAGGTACAGACAATTAACGGATGCCAAAGCAACAATGATTCAAAGACATTCTTTTTCGATTGTACGACAAAGTTACCAAAGTTATTCATTAAACTTTAGATATTACTATTTGCAACGATCTATGAAGCTTTATTGGCCCTCAAAGCTCATTTCCAACTAATGGATCCAGGTATGCAAAAGATATGTATGTTTTACAAGTTTGATCATTAAGCCACCCCATGAAAGAATCAAACTATATATCAACTCTTCTTATACCATGTATATATTTTAATGCAAAGTGTATAATTAAGATTAATTTAGACACATATTAACTGTATCAAATCAATTTTATGCCGTTAATAGTAGTCTCACACAATCAATTTCATGATCTCAAAACACCTTGAACAATCTTGCAGTTGCAATAATAATAATAATATCGTTCTTTTTACATTTTCTATAAATAAATAAATAAAAAGGCACAAATGAATAGTTACAGAAGCAATCGTCCCTTCATATGACTTCAACTTTTTTGAAGAATCGAGTAGGAACCACCTTAAAGGTGGTCTTAGAGTGATGCATATCTTTATGGAAATTGAAGATGCGAGGATGTCTTTAGCTTGAGGAAGGTTTAATAAGATAAATAAGCTTGAAGTTGAAGATATGAAAATGAAACTTCTGAAAAGAGCAATGCTCTGTTCCACACACAGAATATACTTGTCAGTGTGCTTCAATCTGTTAGCTTCTTGTGCATAATGTGAGAAGAAAAGTGAAAGAAAATAAATTAAAAGATTTAAAATATAAAAGAGAGAGAGAGAGAGAGAGACTAACACAGTTATTTGAATTTTTAAAGTTACAATTTTTTTAATTGAATGTTTGGAGATAAAAATTTCAAATATTAACAAAAATTAATAAAGGATAGGTTTGGAAACTATATGAAAGTCCATCAATTGTTGTATATTTTCATATATTTCAAAAAGCTAATTTATTTGTAAAATTATTTTGAATTTAAGTTTAAATTTAAAATAATTATTTATTTAATTATAAGTTTTAAAATTTAATTAATATTAATTTTAATGAGATATAATAATTTGATTGTTATAGTTTTAATTAATTTTAATTATCAAACATTTTAAAATTAATTATTTTAATTTTTATAATTAATTATAGCCACAATAATTAATATCTCCTTTTATAAATATTAAAAATCAGTTAGATGAATCAAACACTATTCTTTCTTTTTTTAGGTTAATAACTTGCCAATTTTATATCTCCGTTTTTAGTAAACTATGAAGGAATGAAATGAATATTTAGATAAATATAATTATTATTAGTCTATTTTTATGTAAGTTTAAAAGAGATTTTGATATTTTTTTACTGAAAAAATTTAATAAAGAAACTCTTTTTTTTTTTTTTTTTTGATAAGCAATAAAGAAACTCTTAAAAAACAAACTTCGTTTGCTACTAGTATTCTAGTTGATAGACATATATACATGAGTAGTTCAAAGGTTTTTATTTATCTAAATGTTAATTAAAAGCTTTATGATACCGTAAAATGCATGTTTTAATATTTTTTAGCAAATTTAACTATCAAATTCATATATCAAGTTTAGAAATTAATTTTTTTTAAATTGATATAATCGTTTACTTAATTTTCCTTAAAATGTGCTTGGATGTAAATAAAATTTTATGAGTATTTGTATAGACAATTTTTTTCCCACTAAAAGTACAGTAACGTGAGTCATTAATAATATTTCATAAATTATTTATAGTTAATAATATTATTTTTACTAAAAGCTTAATATTTATTAAATTTAATAATTAACTATTAGTTATTACCTTAAATTGTAAAAGAAGTTATCCAAAATTTTAAATTATAATTTCATAAAATTAGTAATATATTTGTCTCTGCATATTTGATATATATGCAGCCTCACTGCCTCAGCCTCAAGATTTGGGGAGTGTGGAGGGTATTTGCTCGAATCTTGGTACTTAAATTTATGATGATCTCTATGATTATTATGGATTATAGTAATATTGTTAGTTATGTTATGGTGAAGTTTTAATAGCATATTTTGCTATTAAAAAAAATATAGAAAGTAATTTTTACGTATTGGGCCTAGGCCCATTGTTACCTGTCTTGGTCTTAACGTCCTATTAGTCCTAGTTACAAGTGTTGATCAAGTTTAACACTAATATACAATAGCATCGATAGCATTAGCATTATTATAAGTTATTTGGACAGTTTTGATGTTTTTTAAATGCCTAACTTTCCCCTTTTAAAATCTCTATTAATTGAACTAACTACACTACTTGTGCTCTGTGTGGTTTTATCCATCGGGATTAAGTAACGTAAATTAATTACGAAAGTAACATAATTTCATGAATATATTATTTCTTGTGTGCACACGTGTGTTTATAACTAACTATACTACTTTAAAGCACTGTTTATTTAAAATTTATTCATTAAATTTTTTTAATATAATCACGCATGGTAATGATGTTTAAATTTAGAATTTTATGTATACTAATCAACTTTTCATCATTAGATTAATCCTAATACTTTTTTTATTCGTTAAGGTATATATATATATATATATATATATATATATATATATATTATTTATTTAAATAATAATAAAAAATTATCCTTCATTGAAATATTAATAGCTTGTCTTACAATAGTAACAAAACCTCTTCTATTTTCATTTTTTTACATGTTGCACCTACCGAAAAAATGAGTACTACTAGATGACTTATTTTTCTCCTTTTCATATGTGGTCTATAAATCTTTTTGGTAAAGTAATATACTCGCAATAATATTCTGACACTTAAATTAGAAAAATAATATAATTGTAGGTAATTAGTGTATTTTTTTTATTGACATCTACCTTATTTCATAGGGAATAAATACAAGACATTTAATTGATATAATAAAGATATTTTATTAATCATTAATGACAACCATGAATAGTGTGAATGTTACCATCCACCTTGTTACCACAGGTTGAATGGTTGTTAAAAAGGGATAATTAATTAAAAAAAAAAGTAATAATTACACTTTTAATTTTTAACTGAAATTTTTTATATTTAATATTTTTTTGCACAAATTAATCTCTTAATTTTTTAATTATAGTATATTAGTTATTGTGACAGTTTTAATGTTTTCCAAACGCCTAATTCCTCCTTTCAAATCTCTAAACTATTCCTTTTACAACTAATTGAAGTATTTTAAGTTAATTTTAATTAAGAAAGAAGTTGTAATTTATTTGACCATTTTTATCTTGTTTTATAAGTGTTTATTAAAAAAATCCAAATAAAATCGATCTCTCATACAATAAAACTTTACTTACAAAAAAAAAAAAGCAAAA